GATAACAGTTGTATGAGCCCCTAATAAAACGTTTACAAAAAAATGCAAAAAATGAATGTTGGAAATAACTCGGAAACTTTTTCTTGAACATGGAGTAAAGCAGATGGAAGACATGGTGGAGTAAAGCCTGAACTGAAAATTATAAAGAGAATATTGAGAAGACACAGTAAATTATTTTTAAAATATGCCAAGATCTGAAGCTAGAAAGTTGAAAAAGAACACTCGGTGTGATAAACTGAGTTTTCTAGGGATGCAAAACCAGTGATGCTCACACTGTTGTTACTGAATGCCTTCCAGTCAGTTCCAACTCAGAGTGACCCAACATAAAACAGAACCCCATCTTCACAATCGTTCTCCTCATCAAGTCCATGATTGCAGCCACAATATCAACATCTCTTGTTGAAGGTGTTTTATGTTCTCATTCTCTGCCCCTTGCATTTACTAAACATGATGCCTTTTTATAGAGACTGGTTTCTGATAACATGTCCAAGGTACTTGAAGTCTCACATCTTGCTTCTAAGGAGGATTCTGGTTATACTTCTTCCAAAACAGATTCACTAGTTCTCTTGGTGGTCCATGATATTTGAATTATGGTTCTGGTGAAGAATATTTATTTAATGCATTAATTCTTCATTGATCTTGCTTAGTCAATATCCAGCTTTCACATGCATATGAGGCAATCAAGAATCTCATGGTGAAATGGACGGAGTGAAGACTAAGAGAAGGGATCTTCATTTGCTGGTAGGGCATGACTCAAGGTAAGGAGAAATAGATGTAAAAATCTGCTAATGACTGGAACTTGGAATGTGTGTAGTATGAATCTAGAAAAATTGGAAGTATACCAAAAACTACGTGAAAAGCATAAGGATCTATACTCTAGACTTTAGTGAGCTGCAAAAGACAGGCCACTTTGAATCAGAAAACTGTATGGTTTACTATGCTAGGAATAACACAATCAAGATGAAGGTTATGACTTTCATTGTCCATAAGGACACTGGAAATGTCCAGCATGAAGTACAATGAATGCTACCTTAGAAAGTAATATATGTATCTGCATTCAAGGCAATCCAATCAATACAAATATCATTCAAATTTATGCCCCAACCACAAAAGTTACTTATGAAGAGATTGAAGAATTCTACCAATGACTTCAGTCACACATGTATAAAACATGTAATCAAGATGCATTGCTAATTATTGCACATTGTTATGCAAAGGTTGGAAACAAATAGGAAGGGACAGAGGTTGGAAAATATGGACTTTGTGATAGAAGTGAAGCTGGAGATGGCATTATAGAATTTTGCAAGATCAAGTACTTGTTCATACTAAATGTAACTTTCTTCAACCAAAGGCAACCAAACACTTGGTGTTCTCCACATGGAATACACAAAGATAAATTTGACTACATCTGCTGGGAGAGATGATTGAGAGCTCAAATCAGCAGCTAAAACCAGGCGAGCTGACCATGAGTTGCTCATATGTAAAGTCAAGTTAAAGGTGAAGAAAATTAAAGCAAGTACATGTGAGCCAAACACAACTTTGAGTCTATCCTACCTGAATTTTGAGGACATACCAATAATAGATTGACCCATTGAATATTTATGACAGAAGACTATTAACAACTTTCAAAATAAAGATGACACATCCTTGCTTTCTGAAAGGGAGGAGGGCTTGAGGCACTTATAGTGAAGAGCACGGATTGAAGTCCTTGGTATGTATTACAGCACAATGTCAACTAGACCCAAATCCTCACAGTTGGACCAATAGATAACTTCATGAGATAAGGAAACAGGGTGGAGTTGTCAAATATTTTCTCTTGCTGGGATCCACAATCAATGTTCATGGATGCAGCAGTCAAGAGCACAAAAGATGCATTAGGTAAAATTTGCTGCATAAGACCCCTTTAGAGTATTGAAAAATAAGGACTTGATGAGCTGTGAAAGGACATAAAGGGAAGGCATAAAGGAAGCAAAAGGTCATTTAAAATATAGGGAAAAAAGAAAAGATCAAAGTGGAGTTAGAAGTGACTCTGAAACTTGCTATTACTCTCAGAGTAGCGAAAGCAACTGGAAGAAAAGATGAAGCCAAGGAGCTGAATAGAGCATTTCATAGGGAAGAAGCAGTCAAGAGATCAAAAGACATTGCATTGAGTGTATTTACTGCACAAGACCTCTTTAGAGTATTTACAAGCAAGGAAGGAGGTGGGCCAGACCCAAGCCATGGCATTTTACATTCCTTCATATTTATATGAAAGGTGGACATTGAATAAAGAATACCTAAGAAGGATCCATGTATTTGAAATATTGAAAATACGATGGACTGCTACAAGGACAAATTTCCTGTCTTGGAAGAAATATGACCAGAGTATTCCTTAGAGGTAAGGATGGCAAGACGTTGTCTTACATACTTTGGACATGTCAGGAGAGACCAGTTCCTAGAGAAGGCCATCCTTCTTGGTGAAGTGAAGGGGAAGTGAAAAGAGCGAGGCCCTCAAGGAGACAGCTTGACACTGCAGCTGCCACAATGGACTCGGGCATAGGGACAATGTACAAGATGGTGCAAGACCACGCATTAGCTCGTTCTGTGTGTATAGGCTCACTATGGGTTGGACCTGACTCAATGGCACCAAAGCACAGTAAGGAACTGATGTACTAGCAATTGAAAAGTTTAAACAAACACATGCAGTGCTGGAAGTACTCACTTATCTATAACAAGGTCTTTGAGCGATCACTATCAGACTAACCAACTGAATACATACACCAAACCATTCTCATCAAATCAATCCCTACTCATAGTGACTCTTATTTGTGCCTATTCCAAAAGAAATGACCCAACACAATGCTTTATCAAACAATATGATTAATATTACATGAAATAAACTTATGTTGAAGTTAATTCAGAAGCAGTCGCAATAACTCATTAATAATGAAATATAAGAAATTCAAAGTGGTTTTAGAAAATATAGAATGAAACATATAATAGTTATGTCAGATTGATCTTGGCTGAATAGCTGCAAAGATAGTTAACTTTGTGAGTCATAACAAATCATGGATGTTGCAAAGAAAGGGACTCTTAAATTGGTCGCATGAAATCTGTGCACAAAACAGACCAAGGGGATAGTTTGAGGTTGAAAATAAGGAAATATGTGTGCCAGCATTGTTTGCTTTCATCCTACTTAGTCAATCCAGACAATGAGAACATAAGGAGAGAAAGTGAAGCATGTGGAAAATAAGGTGGCAGCAGAACTCAAAGACTAAGTAATAACCTACAACATGCAGATGACACCTTGCTTGCTGAAAGGTAAGAGGATCTGAGATACTTGCTGATGAAAATGAAAGACTACAGCCTTCAGTGTGGATTACAACTCATTTAAAAAGGAAACAAAAATCTGCACACTGGATCAATGGACAATATTATGATTAAAGTTGTCAAGTATTTCATTTACTTGGTTCCACAATAAATGCTCATAGAAGCAGCAATCTAGAAATCAAAGGATTACTGCATTGGGAAAATC